CTCTCCCGTATTCGGCGTAGGCCTCTGTCTGTGAGAAGAGCAGCTCCTTGGGCGGGTTGAGGTGGTCCTCGCCGCCATACTTGCCCAGCAGCTCCTGCTTCTTCTCCTCTTGCAACGCCTGCAGTGCACACCACACACGACAAACGCGTCACGTCCACAACGACCCAAACCCCCCTCGCCCCACTCCCCCCCACCGCCCCTCTCTCTCTCTGGTGAGTGAGTGACGTACGTACGTACCTTCTTTTTGTCGAGGTGCTGCTTGTACATGTACTCGAGCTGTGTGGGCTGGGCCTGGAAATGCACCTTGGAACCGTGCTTATACGACTCCCACGCAAACGCCTCGCTCGTCGCCATCCCCAGGGCGTCGGCAGACATCCGCACGTAGTTGTCGCCGCGGAAGACGCCCTGATCGTCCTCGTTCAGGTGCTTCAGAGGGTTGTCACGCATCGACCTGGCACACACACAGACGGCACAGCACGGCACACGTGTGTGGGGATGGGATGGCTTGTGGGGGCGGGGGAGGGGGGAGGGGGTGAAGGATACCTTACCTGCTCTTGGGGTCGTAGAAGGCCGATCCGAGTTCCAGGTTGTAGAGGTACTTGGCTGTGTCCTCGCGGATGCGAAGGTTGCGTGAGGTGGTGCGGGTGCGGTCGTCCTTGGTCGCCACGGGGGCGTTCTGCTCGTCGAAGTCGCGCACCTTGACGTCATCGTCCGACGCGCCGCCGTCAGAACCCTCGCTGTCGCTGCACGCCAACACGCACACACACACACATCAGACCCCTGTGCTGATTGCTTCCACTTTGCGGGCCGTTCTGTGTCTGTGAGGCTTCGTTCACATACGTGTCAGTCTCGCTGTCGGTGTCGGTGTCGTGTCCGTCGGTGCCGTCGTCATCATCGCCCTTCTTGTTATCGTGGTTGCTGGCGGCCTCTCCCTGGTTGTTGGCCGTTGTGGAAGAGGCGCCCATCCTGCTGTCCAGCTTCTCCAACTTCTTGCGAATCTTGCGCTTCTTGCGGCGGTCCGTCGCGGCACTCAACTGCTCCCTGATTAGAACAAGGGTGGCACGTGTGTGTGGAGGGGTTCTGGTTTAAAAGGGGGGGGAGGTGAGGTGGCACCTGAGTTTCTGGTTGAGCTCCTGCGCCTTTCGTCTCTTGCGCTCCATGTCGGCCCGCTCGTACTCGTCGATGACGTCCTTCTTGTAGGTCGACGGGTCGTAGTTCATCCAACGGTCACGCTTGCCTGAAGACACACACCGCACAGAAGACCATAGACCATTGCCGCATCCACACATCAATCAGGGTCTGTCTAGTTCAGTAAGCAACGTACCCTCAAAGCCGAGTTCTTGGATCTGTTTCTGGTCGTCCTCGTCTGGCAGTCGCTCGTCGGGTCTGATGTTGCTGCCCGTCCACTTGGCGCCCTTCCTCCGGGGACGCTCCACACAGTCCTTTGTCGCGTGAGTGATGGCACCGCAGTTCTCACACGCACCTGACACACACCACCACACCAAACCACTCCACACACGCGCCATGGACACACACATCTCCACGTGTGACATTTGCCGCGCCAGCGCACCTTTCCTGTACTTGGACGCGGCTTCCTTCTTGAGTCCCTTTCGCCATGAGAGGTCGAGAGGAATGCGGCTGCCGTCGGGTTTGAGCCGCTGGTGCTTGAGGGAGGGGCCGCTCTGGCTGAGGTACCAAGGAGCCTTAGAGATGTACTGGGGAATGTGCGGATTGATGTCCTGATGTACACACAGACATTCACAGACAGACAGACAGGGAGCAGGGACAGAGACAAGCAATCAGTGAGCACCATGCATGGCGTCGTGTACGTGTGGACAGCGTGAACCGTCCCTTCCTCCCTCCCGCTGTCTGTCTGTCTGTCCCTCCCTCTGTTCGCGTACGTACCCGCCCCTCTTCGTCCTTCTCGGCGGGAGCAGTGCCCGCCTTGCGCATCTCCTCCAGCTCCTTGGCCTTCTTGATCTCATCGCGACTCAGAAACTGATCCGCCATTCTCGCTACGATGAGCTACAGCAGCTCTCCGGCCACAACTAGGCTTGGGACAGGCAAGCCTTGACAGACGATGAGGCTCAGGCAGAAGTGTCGCTCTTTGCCGAAATCAGCAGCGGCGCTGCTTATGCAGCGGCGCTGCTTATGCAGAGGTGTGTCTCATAACTATGGGCAATTCCACACGAACGCGTCCTACTTGCGAGCTTGGAGAAGATCTGCGAGCTAAGCTTGCGAGTGGGTGGTGATCTACGTTCGCGTTATGAAGGAGTCTCTGGGAGTCGTCAGATGCCCGTGTGCTCACCGCCACCTTTTGGCGCTGCATCGTCACGGGTTTCGGTCAGGCGAGAAGCAGTGAGGCGTACTACATCGCCCATCTATCGCAGCGCATCCCCGCGGCCTGCCGCCAGATGCACCTGATGGCCATGCAGCCGCTGCACAGCCCAGCGGAACAATGCATCCTTCATCGTGCGCCCCGACCCCCCAACCTCATCAGCGCGACGATCATGCTCGTGCTTCTCCTTATCAGCAGTATGGTGGCTCTATCAATCGCCCAGGCGCCTCTCACGTGCGAGGCGGGGTGCCCCGCAGTGGCTGCTACATCGGCCAACGACAGCAGCAGCAGCAGCAGCAGTAGCGGTAGCCGCTCCTCTGACTTTTATGTGGTGCGTCGGGAGTGGCTGTCGCACCATATCGCGTCGTCCCTCTATGCAGCGGTGGTCAGCCAGCACCTCAACCTGACTGTGGGGTGCGTCGGCCGCTCGTGGGAGGCCAGCCACAGCAATGACGACGTGGGCGACATGCGGAAGGGGTGCTACCAGGTGGATGTGGAGGTGTGGCCGCAGCACGAGCATGAGAGCGAGGATGGCGACGCCGTCGGCACGCTGGACGGCGGGCAGGTCAGCTACCGCGGCACACGCGGGCTCTTCTTCCCCCGGGCACTCGCAAACCGTTTCCCAGAGCAGCACCTTGAGTACTGGCGGATGCACGCCACCGCCAACAGTTCCTCTGCGGCACTTGGATACTTCCAGACCACCACTGACCCGTCGTGCTGCGTCAGCAGCAGCAACGGCGGCAACGGGACTTCGGACAGCGATGAGGGGGAGGTGATGAGGGCTGAGTGTGAGTGCCAGGTGGTGTATGCGTCGCCATTCCTTGACCGTGGCGGCGAGCTGGGCCGCATGCTGCGCGAGCTGGGGATCCCTGCCTTTGTCGAGTATGTGGGTGGCGGGGGCGGCAACGGGACGACCTTTGAGGAGGAGATGGAGAGGCTACTGCTGGGGTGGGAGGAGGCATTCAACCAGACAGCAGGTAAGGTACCTACTTACTGTCCAGAGAGAAGCAGCCACAGGCATTCTTCCTTTCTCGCTGATTTGGTTCGTTTGCTCCTCCCGCTTAGATGCCGGGGACACTCTTCCCGCGGCCCCGCTGTTCGAGTACGTGTGGCCGGACCCCCTGACAGACCCTCTCACATCCCCCCTACCGCTGCAGGAGCTGCTCCTCCCGCCCCCACCACCATCATGCGCAGACAAACTGGACCACCACCACCACCGACACGAGTTCCAATCACGCGACGACGACCAGCAGGGAGAGGGAGAGGGAGAGGGAGGGAAGGGCGCCAACCCTCTCTGCTCATACCAGGTGCGTCACACGAGAGAGAGAGAGGGAGAGCGCTAGCTGGAAGCGACCGCGTGGTTGTCTACATCTGTGTCTGTGTCTGTGTCTGCGTGTCAGGTTCGCGTGTTGCGCAAGGAGGCTAGCGAGATGCTGCTCCGGGAGTTCCCTGAGGCCAACTTTGTGTTGAACAAGATGGCCCTCACGGCGGCAGACATGCAGCTCCTCATGAAGCGAGTCCACGGCCTCATGGCGGCAGACGTCGATGTCGATCGCGACACGGCCGTCGACAGAAGCGTCAAGGAATGGGTGGATGCCCACCCGACGTAAGCATGCACCACCTCCATACCCACACAGGCGCCGTGCCCGATATCTCTCTATCCCTCTCTCATGTCAGGTTGGTGAGGTCGTGGCTGCCGTCGTCATGCTCGTCGCAGGGGCTGGTGTTCAGCCCCCTGGACGCCTCTTGTCGCGCCGGCTGCCCTCTCGGCACGCAGCCATGGGGCCTCCTGGAGTGCCGCGCCTGCCCGCCAGGCACTTACCGAGACGACATCGAGCTGGCTGCATGCCTGCCATGCCCACCTGGTAACACTAACACACACACACACACACCGCTCACACCGCTCACACCCCTCACACCCCACACACCATACCATGCAACACCTGATCCATTATGTGTTGTCTCAACAACAGGTACGTACCACAATGCGTCGCTGTCCGAGCCGGCGTGTGCGCAGTGTCCGTTGGGGACGTTCAGCGTCGGCGAAGGGCAGGGCACCTGTGTGCAGTGCCGAGGCGGCCAGGGGCTCGCCTGCAACGAGATGGCCGTCGGAGTCAGACCAGGATATCGTTTGCTGGAGCCGATTCGCACACGGACGGGTGGCGAGGTGGCTCTGGTGGTGGCCCCCTGCCCCGTTAAGGAGGCGTGCCTGGCCTCGCAGTGGTGCGACGCAGACAGCATCGACCAGGGCATTTGCACCCCTTCTAAGGACCAGCTCCAGGCCACACATGGCCATGGGACGGAGCACAGGATGGTGGATGTACCCAAGCTGGACGACCAGTTCCAAGCGTAAGAACACACACACACACACACACGCACATGGATCGACCAGGTCAGGCCAAGTGCGCCTGAATGTGTGTGTGTTGTGGGTCGATACGTGTCTGTCAGGTGTGCTGAGCATTACAGGGGCAATCTGTGCAGCTCCTGCTCGGATGGCTCCACCCGTCTGCTGCAGGGGCAGTGCGTGGCGTGCGCAGAGCTGCTCGGGAGGTGGGACCACGTTCTCATATCGGTCAGACCGACTCACCCAGACAGACCGACAGACAGCCCGCCGCAATGCCTTCGCAAGTGTGGGCTTCTTCCTTCCATGTGTGTGCAGGTGAGTGTGGTGATCTTTCTGGTGCTGTGTCTGTGCTTCGTCTTCATCAACCTACGCAAGAACCGCGGCAACCAAATCAACGGGGCCCTGGGAAAGGTGTGTGTGCATGTATGTGCACAGTGACCTCACTCGCCCACAAAACGTCAATTCCTGTGTGTGTGTGTGTGTGTGTGCGTGTGTGTGTGTGTTGCGTCACCTGTCAGATCTTCCTCAACTACCTGCACCTGGTGAGCTTGGCGTTCTCTGCAGCTGCCTTCGACTTCGGTGCGCTCTTCCCTTCCTACGTGGACGCGGCTCGCATCGCCGGCAACGCCACACTACAGCCGGACAGAATGCTCTACCTCGGTACGGCCACCCCTCCACACACCCCCACACCCCCACCCACACCCACACACCCACACACACAGAGCACTCTCTCTTGTTCTCTGTTTCCTCTGTGTGTTGGCCAGGGTGTCTGTTTCAGTACCTGGGCTACGAGCCACAGGTTCTGCCGCAGATCAACCTGGTCATCGCCTTCGTGGCGCCGTTCGTCATTACGGGTGTGGCCAACGTCGTGGCCTACTGCTGCCCGGGCGATGACGCTGACGAGGACGACGCCGCCGGCCACAAGAAGGAGGACTACAGGCAGCCGATGACGCCGCCCGGTGTCGTGCCGCCCAAGGACGACTCGTTCCACCAGCCGTCGACCTCCCTGACCAATGTCAACACCAGCCACGGCTCGTCCGTCAACAACCCGCCATCGACCAACCGCAATCCGGACGACGTCCCGACCAGCCAGGAGGACGGCAACCTCACACACACCAAAGACGTACGTTAGTGAGAAGGAATATTTCTCACCCACACAGCACAGCCCCAATCACCTCTCTCTGTGTCCTTCATTCTTTCCTTGGGTCATGCAGACTGAGGCCCAGCCCGCCCTAGCCCCGCCAGCAGCCCCGGTGCGTGCGCCCCGTGGCGGTTTCCGCAAGTTCTCCCTGCAGGCCGTGCAGGCCCTCCAGGCCGTTGCCAGTCCCCCTGCCAAAGTAGGCTCCCCCGGGTCGCCCCCGATGTCGCCCGGGGGTGGGGAGAACCCCGACCAGCCGGCGCACGTGCGGCGGGGCGGTCGGAAGGCAAGCGTGAGGGGGTGGCAGGGCGAGAACCTCTTCAGGCCGGGGATCGAGGTCGACTCGGTCATGACCAACGCCACTGATGTGGTGAGCGACAGAGAAGAAGGCATGGCGGGGCGGGATGTGTGTGTGGTGTTGTGTGTCTGTGTTGTTCAGGCGTCTGTTGGTCTGGAGGTGGGGTATGCGTCTCAGATGATGGCTGACCTGGACTTCGACGGGCTGCGTTCGTCGCTGGTGAGCTCCTCCCGGCCCAACTACGACAGCAACACATTCGTCGACTCCACGCCACTCGGATTTCCTGCCAAGCCCAAGGTGCGGTGCCCTTCACACCTTCACACGCACACACGTGTGTGTGCATCGTCTCATGCGAATCTCACCCATCAGGAGGAAGACTCCCCCCCTCCCTCTCCCCCTCCCTCTCCCCCAAGCCAACAGGGCGGTGTGGACCTCGCGAAGCTCCGAAGAGCCATTGAGACCCGCAAGACCCGGCAGCAGCTGGAGGTGCAGACGTCTGAGGAGCATGACGCCACCACCATCGTCACCAGCGGCGGTGATCCCGCTTCCACCCCGGGGGGGCAGGAGAGAGACAGCCTTCAGGACGTTACCTCATCCAAACAGTCGGCAGCGGCGACGGCAGCCACTGGAACCACTACCCCCACCGGTAGGTAGACAAACACACCACCCACCCAACATCCACACCCACCAATGGTCGATGGACATCCGTCCGTCATTTTGTGTGCGATCGATGTTGCCTGCTGAAACAGGGAGTGCCAGCCATTCTTATGGCTTCGGCTCGAGCGACAGCGTGTCTCGGAAGCCGCCTCCCCGTATAGTGGAGGAGGTGGGTGAGCACATGGCCGAGATGCCCCCGCAGGAGCGCAGCTGGATCAAGCGCGTGGGCGACCAGAACAAGATGTTCCTCGAGAAGTCGCACGAAAACGCAGCCATGATGGCCAAGGCGCTGAAGAAGGGAATCGGTGAGTGAGAAACAGACAGAGGGAAGGAGAGAGAGAGGGAGGGAGCTGGCATCTCCGTCTGTGTATGTTATCGATGTCAGTGTGGTCGATCGGTTTGAGTATCCGAGTGACGATGCGGCTGATAGCCCTGACGACACTAGATCTGTTCGCCAACCGCATCGCCATGATTCTCATGCTCATCTTCCACCCCGTCATCATCAAAACGTCCGCAGCCCTCCCCCAAACCCCAACTCACACCCCTTCTCCGCTTATCCATTCTCTCTCTCTGTGTGTGTGCGTGTGTCGGTGGTGGGACAGGTATCTGGACAGCATCAGCTGTGTGGAGCTGCTGCCCGAGGGCACGGCGAGCCTCGCCCCCGACGCCAACCGGTGGTTCATGAAGACCAACCTCGACAGAATCTGCCCCATGGCATCTGGGGTAAGCCGAGAGAGGGACGATATCCACCACGCAGCACGCGACACGGAGGGATCCATGCGTGTGGGTGGGTGTGCAGGTGTTTGAGTGGGACTTTTGGCTGGCGAGTGCTGGTCTGCTGATATGGGGCATCCTGTTCCCCCTGTTTGGCTTTATTCTCATCGGCGTCAGGCAGGAGGCAATCCTCATTCACGCGGAAGGTGCGTCAGCCCATCCATCCATCCATCCGCCATTCGCCCCCCTGAACCAACACACACACACCCGCCACCCCACCTGCTGTGTGTGTGGTTGTGTCAGAGCGAGCCCGGTTCGGCTTTATGATCAACGGTTATCGAGAGGACTTTTATCACTGGGAGTGTGTCCAGCTGCTCAGGAAAGTCATACTACTCGTCTGCCTCGGTGAGGGGGTGGGTGGGTCTGTCTGGCGTGCACTGGCTGCACGCAGGACGCAAGACGGGCTGGGCTGGGCTGGGCTGGCTCGTTTGACTGACTCCGATCTGCGGGTGTGGTGTGTATGTGTTGTGTGTTCTGTGTTTGCCGCCTCTGTGTCTGTCTGCTATTTCAGCCTTGCCGTATGGCAATGAGTTTCGGGCTTTTTGGATGCTCGTGTTTGGAGTGGTCTTCCTCTCGTTTCAGCTCGTCTTCCAGCCATATGGTCAGTCCCCTCCCTCCCTCCCTCTCGCCATCACACAAAGAGACGGATGGCACGCTCACTCGTCTGTATGTGCGGTGTGTGTGTGTGTGTGTGTCTGTGTGTGTATTGTAGATGACCGGCACCACAACATGTTTAACCGTCTGGAGCAGTGGTCTCTCGTCAACTTTGTGGTCACCCTCTTCGCCGCCATCTTCTGGAGCCTCCGGGCCTTCAGCGACACCTACGACGCCGACGCGCTCAACCAGGGGGTCAGCCACACCACACCAGCCATGGAGCCGCAATGGCTCACGCGGAGTGCATGATCCACGTGTGTGTGTGTGTGTGTGTTGGTTGGTGTGTGATAACTGTCAGTTTGAAGCCTTGGGTGGCGGCGCCACTCCGTCATCGACGATAGCTGCGCAGATCATCCTGGCGCTGGTGACGTTTCTGCAGACCTTTTTCATGGCCTTCTTCGCGTGGGCCTTCCTCAGAACCAATATCACACCGCTCAGGTAGGTTAGCTACCTGGTCTGGTATCCTGTCAGCCCTTTCCCCCCTACACACACACACACAACCCTCTCTCTCTCTCTGTGTGGGTCTCAGGGAGTGGCGCTCGCTGGGCGGTCGGCTGTGCCACAAGATGGAGATGACTGAGGAAGGCTTCTTGAAGATCCAGGACCTCAAGCTCTGGGAGAAGAGACAATTCGCAAAGGCCATCGCCAACGCCGTCGTGCAGGTACCCTCACCCTCTCCCTCTCCCTCTCCCTCTCCCTCTCCCTCCCCCTCATATGCGCGTCTCTTTGTTGCCGTGACGTATGGGTGTCTGTGTTGATGCAGTTGGTGGGCCATCCGAAGATAGTGTGGTTCGACCCTGCCGACCTCCGGGACACCTTAAAGAGCGCCTTCCGCCGCCACCAGGAGTTTCCCCACGAGAGGCACGCCACAGGGCTGGGCAAACTGCTCGACAGGGTGCTCAACGCCAGAAACGAACGCTACGAGAGGTGGGTGCTCCTCGGCTCGGCACACACACGTGCCACACGCGTCGATATATGGCGTCGTGTGTGGTGTGCATCTCTCTCCCTCTGTGTGTGGTGTGTGTGGTGTGTTTGTGTGTTCAGCCGTCTCCGTTTTGTGGAGCAAGTTCGCAAGAAGTTTTCTTCCGCGAGTTTGCCGACGAGCAGCGCGTCCTCTTGGGGCGGCTGCTGGGGCTCCTGCGCCACTCGGTGGCGGCTGTGTTGGCAGGGGGCACTCAAATGCATCACCTGCAAGACCTATGGCAAGGACCGAGCCGGCAGCAACGGTGAGGGAGGGAGGGCGAGAGGGATACCATGGCTGGCCGCACTGTGTGGTCTGTGTGGTTGTTGCCAGCAGATTCCCCCCACCACTTGACGAACAGCCAGACCCTCAAGAGCCTCTACAAGTCCTACGTGTCGGGCCGCTCCGACACCTCCCTGCCGCAGGACCTCGCCGTGCAAATCGAGACCGACCCCGAGGACGACCCACACAGGCCAATCCTCAGACACCTCTTCATGTGTGACCGGTGCGTCTGCAGGCCTCTGCCTCCGCCCTCCCTCGCAGCACACCTGCCTTTGCACCCTCGTGTGTGTGTGTGTGTTTGTGTGTGTGCAGATGTCGGACGATCCGCCGAGGAATCAGCTTTGTGTGCAGCATGCCCGACTGCGGCTACCGTGTGTGCCGCACCTGCATGCCCACCCTGTGGAGCGACTGGACCGACAAACGCACCGACAGCAACGACACTGTGGGAGGGGACTTCCCGCGGGAGCTCGACGGCCGCGAGCCACACGTCCACATCACGCAGAACCACCACCCCACCATGTACGTCTGTCTGTGTCCAGTGCGGCGCGGTGCGGTGGGGTGCGTTCAATTTAAGCTGATTGGTGTCTGTCTGTGCATGTGCCACAGGTTGGTGTTGGAGCGTCAGTCTGAGCTTGGCATGACTGTCGAGGAGCTGCAGAGACGACTGTGGGAGGTCCCAACCAGAAAGAAAAAACTCAAGGTGGGTAGGGGACGTCCCACCGACCCATCCACCTATGCATGGCTCTCTCCCTGTGAGGGTGTTTCTGACGTGCAGAACCAGCAGGAGGCCGAGCCTCGTTTCCGTCGGATCAGCCGCACCCGCACAGCTGACCTGACCGAGGCCGGGCTGAGGTACCAGTACACTGTCACGCCTTTGCCCCCGCCCATCCCCCGCGAAGAGCGGCATCAGCAGCAAGCCACCAGCACCAACCTCAAGCACAAGACCACCAAACTCACCACCCACAGAGCGGCGTCCATCCGGCACAAGCCGACACGTCAGGCCAGCGACGAGACGGTGGACCACCATTCCACCGCCCACAACGGTCACGCCGCGGGGGGGCCGCCGACGATAACCATCTCCCAGGTCAACAACGCCATCAGCAACATCACCAATAACAATAATGACAGCACCAACGGCAACAACCTATATGTGGCGAGCCTGACGCGCCCGGCCAACAACCACCAGCCCAACAGTCAGGTCAACATCTTCTCTCACCCCAACATGTTCTCCCAGCCGCTGACCACCAAGGCCGGCCGCCCGGTGCCCGTGCCAGCCTCCATCTGGCGGGAACAGCTGCGTGACCTTGATGAAACCATCCGGCAGGGCCTCCCTTTGTCACAACCCCCTCCCATGTCGCTGGACTTGACCGCCGCCCCTCGCGGCAACGTCAACTCGCTCAAGAACCTCCTGGCCCCGCCGATGCGCGAGAGGCCCGACAGACTCATGGCCCGCAGAACCGAGAGGTGGGAGAGGGAGAGGGAGAGGGAGGTGCCCTCCCCCCGGCCCCTTCAGCTGGCCCTTGCAAGTGGCCCCACACCTGCACCGTCTTTGCTGCCCGGTGGTGGTGAGGAGCCTTCGTCTTCTATCGACCCTCGGATGGCCGACATGTTTGCGCAGATCCAGATCCAGCACCACAGCCACGTCTCCCGGGACAGCGTCGACAGCCGCCGGTCGTCGCACCGCTCGACGCACAGGACGTCCAGCAAGGGCCCCGGGGAGAACTCCAACCTCTCCCAGCCGTCGTCCATTCCCTCACGGCCGCCGTCCCCCTCGGCCAGCAGCCGGGGCGGCCCCCCGAGTGACATTGACAACGACACGACCGACAGGGACATCAAGTCGACGCCCGAGCCGTCGATCCCCACCTCGTCGATGGTCATGGCCGGCCAGCTCCGGCCACACACCGGCGGCAAGTACAAGGTGCGCGCCGACGTCAGGAGGGAGCGGGAGGCCCTGCCGCCGGCCTTCCGCTTCACAGCCGAGGGGCCGCTTGGCGGGACGCCGTCAGCACCGCCGGCGCCCATCCCCCCACACATCCCCTCTGGCACCATCGGCCCGCCTGCCACCAGCAGTGAGGGGCTGCCTACGCCCGACCCGCACGAGCGTCCGTCGGCCCCCGCCCACCGGCAGCACCGAAGGCAACCGCACTCCGGGAGGAGGAACCGTGGCTATGTGCTGGACATTCAGGAGGCCTATGCCCTGCGCATGGGGGCGGTGGAAGACGTCCACGGTGGCCCAGCTGAGGGTGGCGACGGTGGGGATGGCGCTGACGACATGAATATGGCGGATGTGATGGAGAGAGGTGTGGGTGTGGGTGAGGGTGAGGGCGGTGGGGCGTCCTCGGCAGACGGCGGTCTTGGGCTGGGTGCGGGTGTGATGGCTGCGCACCACATGGCGACCCCCGAGCTCATAATGCGCCATTCCCAGCAGCGAGGTGAAAGGGGATAGCTGAGCTGAGAGGCAACACCATGCAATGCACACCACCAGACAGTGAGTGGGCCTGCCTACCCAACAGCATTTAGTCGACAGACACACAGAGAGACACTACACCCACTTGACGACTGCACTCAACTCTCGCCGTGACGCACCTGTCATCTCTCTCTCCGCTCTCCCTCTCTCTGTCTGTCTGTTGTGTGTGTGCAGGAGGTATATGGTGCATGCCGTGTGTGCATTGGCAGGAGATGATGCGCCAGGCCGCCCTGCGACAAGCCGATGACGGCCAGGACAGCGACGAGGAGTCCCAGTGGCTCAAGTCAGTCCCCGTCTGCGAGGCCTGCATGCGCTCCCGCGCAATGTCTTGATTGATTGACCTAACACCACCAGCCAGCCACCCTCCGTGTGTGGGACATGTGTGTGTGTGCATGTCTGTCTGAGTGTGTGTGGGCTTTATAAAGGAGCGGGTGGTAGAGGGCGGGGGGTAAAATGGATAAGTGGCGGGCGGCGCGTTGTGTTGTGTCCACTGATCTGTGCTGCGGTGGGGGGCGATTGGGAGATTGGGTGGAAAGTTGGTGTTTTGACGCTGATGCCTTACTGGGTGGCACCTTGTCTTGATCTCTATGTGGTATGGTGTTCTGTCTGTCTGTCTGTCTGTTGGCGTGAGTGATGCAGCCCTTTTTTGAATGCATGCAGGAGCGCATCCGTCTATCTATATGTGTGTGTGTCTGTGCGCGCGTCATGGCTTGTGGGGGGATGGTGTGCGTACCTTTCCATCGCAGCGATGGACGGATGGACGTCTGTGCAATCTATTCGCTTTTTGCGACCGACACAGACAGAGAGAGACAGAGAGAGAGATCCGGTTGTCTTTTTGCTTGCGTGCTGCTCGTCTGTCTGTCTATCTGTTTCTTCGGCAGGCAGGGCTTCTTGATTGTTCTGTTGGTTCCTTTATCCATCTCCCTGTCTGGCGGCCGTGCCGTGCCGCTCGATTTAACCTTGTCCTTGATCGGTGTGGTGCCTGTCCGGCCGCTGTGTGTGCTGGATTGGATCAGCCTGGCTGGCTGGCTGGCTGGCTGGGTGTGTGCACACCGAATGTCTGTCAGCGAATGAGTTGAGTGGGACAGATAGACAGACAGACAGACCAATGGCTGGAAGCTCGAGGGAGGAGGGGGGAGAGGGGAGTGTCGTGGGTGGTGCGGTTGGTGCATTGACCGCATCCTCCATGTGTGTATGTGCTTTTTTCCGCAGACTGACTTGGTGTGCTGGTGGGTGGGTGGACGGTGGATGACTGTGTGAGAGTGTGAGTGTGCGTGTGTGCGTGGACCCAAGTGAACCGCGCTTCTGGGCAGCTGCACTGTGCTATGCTATGCTGCTGCGTGTCGGTGTCTGTCTGATGTGGTGTGTGGATGTCTGGAGGGAACTGCGTGTGTGTGTGTGTGGGGTGGGCTTCTCTTCTGTCTCTGGCTGGCTGGCTGGCTGGCTGGCTGAGGGCGTTTGGTCATGTCATAGTAGGTGGGTGCGCACACACGGACACTGCCATGATTGATGACATACACACACATCCGCAATGGACACACACATGCGTGTGCTGCCCTCCCCTCCCTCCATCCTTCCCGTGCGTGGCTAACTAAGTACTTAAGCGAACAACTACTTGCCTGCCTGTAAGCCTGCCTCTCCATCTAGCTGCCTGTGTGTCGGTGTCTGTGTGTGTGTGTTTGCGGTGGGGCGAACACAGTGACCGAATCAGTGACGTCAATGACAGTCCGTCATTATCGTGCACACACACTGGATGGCGTACTCACACACACAAACCAAGCAATGAACGTCCATTGGTCATCCCCTCTGGTACCCTCGTTCGTCAGTCACCGGCCCTCCCCTTCTCTCCATCAGTGTGGCAATTTCAAGCCGCCCCGCCTCGCGCGCAACATCCGCGGCCGTCCGCCCCTGATTGCACAAACACATCCATCCATCCATCCATCCAAACCAGAGAGCAGCAAAACACACACGTCCGCTCCCGCACTCACGTGTGCGTCTTTGAGGCCGACGAAGTCTTTGTCAGCACGACACACGTGCTGTAGCAGCACGGCCACCACCTCCTTGTGGCCCCTGGCCGCGGCCACATGGGAGGGCCGTCTGCCCCTCCCGCACAGTGCTCTTGTGCAGCAGGGTGGCAGTGGCCTCGTCCAGCAGCAGGAGGCTCACCACAGCGGCGTGGCCGGCGTGGGCAGCCAGATGCAGCGCTGAAAGGCCCTCCTGGTTTTTGTCGACACACACACACACACACACACACGCACACAGAGACACATCGTGTCTCTTTCTCTCTGTGTGTCTCTCCCCTTTGTGTGTGAGTGTGTTACGTCTGTGGTGCTTTCAAGGAGGTGGGGAATGGTGTGTTTGACGATGGTGTCGACCATCGCAGCGTCGCCCTTGTAACACGCCTCATGGAAGGGCAGCCACCACCTCTGATTTCACACAGATTTGTATTGTGCATCCTTCTCTCTCTCTCTGTGTGTCTGTGTGGGTGTGGATGCGACCTTAGTTTTGGTCTGCAGGAGGCGAATGTCGTTGAGGTCGATGAGCGAAGCCATGAGGGCGACACTGCCGCTCTCCGCCGCACAGTGACCGCACGTACGCCCATACTGCAGGCACACACACACACACACACACACACAGAAACACACAGAAACACAAGGGCAGCAGATGGCTGTCTCCCTACGTGTATGTGTTTGTGCAGGGCGATTGGCTGACCGCATCCATGAGCTGGAAGGCCTCCCTGCCGACGCACTGCAGCAGGTCGGCGACGCACTTTGTGTGGCCGCGCAGACACGCCAGGTGCAGAGGGGTCACCTGGCGAGACTGCACACACACATACACACACAGGGACACCCATTAAGCTGATGGATGGATGGATGAATGGATGGATGTGTGTGCGCGTCTTTCGCCTGTGTCACTTGCCTGTGGCTCGGTCTGCTTCCTGGCGAGGTGTGCAGGGTCGGGGCTGACCTGCAGGATGATCCTCACTGTATTGCGGTGGCCGTTGGCCGCCGCAAAGTGCAGCGCCGTGAAGCCCTCGGCATCGGCACATTCGAGGATGTCCACACCGTTCTGCTCGACGAGGGTGTACACCTCCTCGAAGTCGCCCTTGGCTGCTGCACGACACAAACTCTGTGTTGTGTGGACGGACGTCAACACACAGAGGGAGAGAGAGAGAGACACAGAGAGTACAGAATAGAATGAGACCCAGCTGCTGCCTTTCTGCGTACTTTGAAGGCTTCCTGCCGCTTCAGCTGCTCTGCACAAGAGCCGAGAGCATACAAATAGTAGGAGAGGTCAAGCAGGCTTTTTCTCCTGCCTTCCTGTGTACCTTCAAAGGAGACACCATTGACCTGAGGCGAGACGAACGTCCACATCTGCTCGTCGCCCCCATGAGCTGCTCTCCTCTGTGCTGCTGGCAGTCCATCCGGCTGCGGGGCGTGCTCACCCAGCCCCACACACCACCCTCTCTCCCCTGATTCACCAGCATCATCGGCTCAGCGAACGTCACATTGGTCGCCCGCCGATCGGTGCTGCTGCTGGCCTTCTTGTTCGCCTTGGTCGGCTGGCAGCAGGGCGCACACATTGAGGACCAGTCACAGAGGCTGACGGTCACACTAGAGCTGTCGATGAGCGAGGAGTGGCGAAGACGCCAGTGCTGATACGCTGCCAAAGGGCGAGACACCGGGGCGAGGGACAGAGAACACGCTGGGCTGCCGTTTTCCTCGCACTCATCGTGTGCCACCAGGGTCAGAGTGTAGTCGGGGTACCCACACGGAACCAACGGAAGACCTCCTCGCCAAACTTCAGCTGATGGTCGCACACCTTCCGCCACTGCTGCCGGCTCTTCCCATCCTCCGGCGGCTCCATGACCAAGCCAGTCGCCCCCCCGGCCGCCGTCACGTCTTGACAGGCGAGGACGCGGCCGTCGACGGCGCTTTGGATGAGGAAGGGCATCTCTGCAGCGAAGGGATGGTTGATGTCGTATTCCAGCACGTCTGACGATTTGAACGGGGTGGGCTCCTTGACAACTGAGATGCCCTCGGGGTAGTGCAGCACCTCAATCGGCTCGGCAATGACCCCGTGGCTGCCTGCAGTACATGAAGGGAGGAATGGCGGGAAGCACCTGATCGAATGAAGGGAGAAGTGCGTCTTTTGCTCACTGTTCTCAATGACGATGGACAGCAGGGCTTCTGGAGTTGGACTCGTCACCTCCTCTCCCTGCCCGGGGAGCAGCTTGACCCACCCGTCTCTCTCAAACTACGTACCCATGTCACACAAAGCCACAGCAGAGAGACGGCGTCCACCATGCAATGGTGTGATGGATGCCTACCTGAGAGTAGTCCATCCGCAGTCCCACCGCCCCTTTGTCATCCTGAATGGCTTCTCTCTTATTGTACGCCAGGCGGCCTTCATCAAAGCTGGCGTGGGCCTCCGTCGCCGCATCTTCCGTCGCCTCGGTCAGCCGGGCATAGCATATGCAGCCCGAGGCGTTTTCTATCGATAGGCTGTGGTGAGCGTTCCGACGACGCATCTTGCAGGCGGCAGCAGCAGGAGCAAGCGGAACCCTCAGATCGGATAACGAAATTTGCGCGCCATATATCACCGCTAAGCCCGCATTCATCCCCTGCCAGAGAGGTGAAATGCAGTCGGCAACGCGTCGCGCCATCTCAGTAGGTCGAAGTGGCAGCTGTGCAGCCGTCACGAGGCCAGATCTGCCGCCTCCCTTCCGCGTACAGGCGCATCTCGTTCGCCACAGCACGTCCCCAGCCGACAGCGCAGCTGACAAGGCAGCGCCAGGGTCATCCGAAGGCGGATCTGTCGGATGTGGCGGATCGGATCCGTCCGCAGCGTTATTGCCACGTGTTGATCCATGGATGCTCAAGGCGTCGCGGTACCTGGAGAGGGTGTCGGGGATGTCCTTCCCTCGAGAGCTCATGGAGTTCCACTACTCATGGGTGAGCGAGTCAGCGAGTCAGTGAGTGGATGAGTGGAAAAGACGGAAGCGATGGAAGAGCTTATTTGCGTGTGTGCGCAGGTTAAGCTGCAGCGTACCCCGACCGAGTTGGACAAGGAGAGGGGGGACATGATCAGCCCTGCCAGGCAGGCAGGCATGGTGCTGGTTCTGCGCGAGGCAGAGACCTACCCGCCACGGTCAATCCATCTCGTAGGTGTCCCGCCGGGCATGGAACGGAGGTCAGGCCGACCAGCCACACACACAGACAGACAGACAGACAGACACTCCTGTTCATCCGTCATTCCATCAGTAGCGAGCTGGTTCGTGAGGTGATTGGCGAGGTGCGGCCTGGTGCCGTGATGGTGGCGTGTGACGAGTCGAGATCGCATATGCTCAACCCCAATAGGACCATTACACAGGTGAGCTCGAGTGCCATCAACACATGAGAGGATTGGCCAATCTTTGACAATGTTTGTGCAGCGTGCCTCTGCGTCCCTCAAAGACCGCGTCAACTCGTTCAGGGTGACGATAAATCGATGGCTGCATGGCGCATACACTGATGTCTGTGCTGTCCTGTCCTGTGCTGTCCTGTGCTGTGCTGTCCTGTGCTGTGCTGTGCTGTGGTTGTGTGGTTGTTGAATTTGCAGCGGCAGTTTCGCAGGGAGAGCACCTTGGAAGACGTCAAAGACAACCAAACATGGATGGACGCCAGGGGTACGCTACGCGGGGGCAGCCAGGCCACACACCTTACACACCTTACACACCATCTGCCATCTTTCTGAGCTGATGTGCAGGTCTGCATGTGGGTCAGGAGATGGTGGATGCCGTGTCGTCCGCCAAGGAGTGCGGGGCCACCATTCTGCTCGGCGACCAGCCACTTGAACAAACAGCAAAGTACTTAGGCGGGCGGGCGGGAGGGCGGGAAGGACACCTTGTCGATCGCTGGTTGGCTCTTGTCTTGTCTCGTCTCGTCTCGTTTTGTCCGCCAGGCGTTTGTTGGAGGCCGAGCAGGACATGGGCAGGTATCGGCTGCTCAAGTGGGTCAACTACATGGTGCACTACAACACTGACGTACGTACGCAGGGAGGGACGCACTCGTTGCACCGCACCCCGGCCCACGCCACACAGGGGAGACAGACAGACAGACAGACAGGGGGGATGTGTGTCTGGGATGCGTGTGTTGCGTTCGTTGTTCAGACGACATTCAGACAGTACTTCAAAGAGCAGGATGACGACAGAAAGACGCTGTACAGCGACAGCACACACACATCAGTCGCTTCCTGCCCTTGTCTGCCCTTCACGGCTGTATGTGCTGTGCTGTGCTGTGATGTGGTGCAGCTTGTGTCTGGAGGTGGTGGACACCCTCAGCCAAATGATGAGAAGCCAAGCCAGACCGGTAAGTCCGCTGCACCCAGAGAGAACCAGTGTCCCTCTTCTCTTCTCTCGTGTGTCATGCGCTTGTATCGGCGCATGAGTGAGTGCAGCTGTTTGATGCCCTGGTGAGCGAGAGGGGCGTGCACATGGCAGACGTCATCCGACAGTCAACCGAGACCAAGTCAGTCAGTCAGTCAGTACTCGCAAGGCACACCGATGAAGCACCAACACCCATTATCCATCCCTTCTCTTGACCACTGCCTTTCTGTTTTCATCAATCAGGGTGGTTGCGGCGATGGATTTGCTGCACGTGTCGGGTGTGGCGGCCAGCCTGGGCACGAGATACGACAAGACCTCTTGCACACTCGTCCGCTTGCGTCTTTGACTGACTGGCGTGACCTGACCCCTGGATGTGTGTCAAAGTGGCTCGCGTCGTGAGAGAAAGATGCTGCCTGTTGTGTAGATGGGATGGATGGATGGACGGATGGATGACCAAACGGACGGTCAGCAGTTCAGATGTGGGATATTTGTGGATGACTTGAAGGTGGGCATGAAAGTCCTGAGTCCGTCCGGACGCTCCAGGGCCAGTATGCGAGTCTCACCGAGTAAGCAAGCAAATCTGAGCGGGTTGCATCAGATTTATCACACACACACACAGACAGGCAGACACAGAGGTAGGTAAGGCAGTCAGTCCCGCCCCCACCTCCCCCCCCTCCCCTCCCGCCAACTAAGGGCATGGCATGCATTTGTTCAGCACAACAAATGGAAAAGCAACACACCCTCACCCCCAGGGTACCCCTTCCCCCCTCCCTCCCTGTAGATCATATAGAGATAGAGAGACAGACAGACAGACGATGCACAGCACACGCCAGATCTCCGTTCGTGTCATGGTCTCGTCAGCTCCGACTTGATCTGCTCCATCAAGGCCTGGAGGGCCGCCGGTGCGTCCTCCTTGACCGCGGCAATGGCATCACGCGGACCGCTGGACGACTTGACCTCAACCTGCACCCAGCCAGACACACACACCCAGATCTCCATTTGGATGGTCTCTCTCTGCGTGTGTGCAATGCTTGCCTGGCAGTCTGGGTCATGGTCAGTGAGCTCCTTGACGACGAGAGTCCCGCTGACGGGGTCGCCCCTCCACGTTCCTGTGAGCTCGACATCGATGTGCAAGTCGTAGCCCAGCCTGATCCTGCCGCGAACCATGCAGAGAGTCGACTGCAGACAGGACAGAGCACCGCACCCACACACACAGAAGAAAGGACGAAGCCATTGCATCGCCGCACAGACAACACGCACAGACGTCCACCAATCATCATCGCGTGGCACTGCTTACATCTCCACTGCAAGTGGCTTTGGTGGTCGTGACCCGCCCCTCCGGCCGGTCCATCAGACAGTGCCCCCCGCGAAAACACCCCTCCAGCCGCTTGTTGACTCTCGTGGAAACGTTCTTCTCCTCCCAAGTGCCCGCCTGGTTCCAGACGCTCGGCGCAGAGACGCTTCTCTGCCCGACGTCGTGTGGCGGCTGCAGGGGCGCGTCGAGGCGCTGAGGGGCGGTGGGGGGGAGCAGGTGGGCGTCGGGGATGTCACGCTTCCTGCGTGACACACACGAGGGATCCTTGCTCTCGCTGACGGTTTGCGTAGTCACTCACTCACCAGTATGTGTAGCCTCCGAATCCTTTGCTCCCTTTGGTTTCCGTTTCGGCGGCGCCATTGACTTCGCCTGAGGTGTCGTCCGCCATCCACGGTGTCCAGAGATCTGCAGAGCTCTTTCAAGCTCGCAAACCATCGGTGGATAGTACTATAGACAATTGAAGACCTGCGCATAGCGTGTGGATGAGTTCGCAAGTCATGCAGGCGTGAGCACCCGTCTGCCTCTCTGCAGAGCATGCCGCCATTGCAGGCAGCACACGAGCGCAGGGGAATAGTGATAAAGCCACCTATCACGCCACCCACCCATGTCATCCAGCCACTCATCCAATGGCATCCATCCATCCATCCGTCGTGCGTTGGGTGCAATATCGACGAGAAAGGACTTACTCAGCCAGGGAGTGACTGAGTGAGTTGAGTGCAAATAGACAACATGCAGTGAGTGATAGACACACACACACGCCACACGCATGATTTAGATAGATAGATAGCTACATACACACATACATACATACATACATACAAAGGGGCGCAACTGTGCCTGCCTGTCTGCCTGTCTGTCTGTCTGTCTGCATGTGCACGCCCCTCACGCATCAACATGAATGCCATCCATGAGTCAGTGGGGAGGGAGGAAGGGGGGG